GAACTGCCTTTAACTGAAAATTGAGTGTTCACTATTGTCATTTTGAATTATTGACACTATTTTCCTATTTAATGCCTATCATTGGTTGATCAGGATGTACAGAAGGATGGCCATGATTCCCAGCGGATTTGGAGAGTTTGGCTTAACCCAGTAAAGAGAATATATACAAGATTCAATTGAGTTTCAGTTGGCAGTTTACTGAAGAAAGCTCTCCACATCTCTTGAGCTCGAAGAGCAAACAAGCCTAGAAGAACATAATTCTGGAGAATGAGCACTCACCTATGAAACCCTCAATGAATACAAGCGAGCTGCCATTAAGGAACGGGACTGGATCACATCCAACTCATCTAAGCAGCTGCCCAGCTCACCTGGAAGACATGGAATGAGTTTTGTGGTTTACATTTAACCCTAATGTCTCAAAGGAGATGCATAAAGAGCATATTTCCAGGTATTTAAGAGAAGGAAACCCGTTCAAGGTGAGCTTGAGAGAGAGAAGAGGGCATCAGTGCCTGGTTGATTCTAGTCTCAGCCATCATGCCCACAGACCGCTGGCTGAACATCTGATGCATACGGCACACAAAACTGGAAACATTACAGGAGTTTCCAAGTCGTCATCTGATTGGTTGAATTATATAGGATTTCTGGGAGACGCGCCACATTCTTTAACATTCCACCTGGAAACAAATATGCCATGACACCAAACTCCCTCATGGAAGAAAGCGGTCATGTTTACAGCTGTGACAATGAGCACTTAGGATCAACTAAAGGCTGGTTTTCAAAAGTATGTGAAATATGTAAAGTTCACAGCATAGATGCTTGGAGTACTTCAGTATTTACTTGAATAATCCTCACATCATCAATGTAAAGGATAATGCATCCAACTCGGATAATGGTACATGTGAGGTTACCATGGATCTTATATGCATGCAAATTCAAAAGTTGTTTAAATAGAAATTTATAGCTCAGGATAGAGAAAACAAACATGCTTGTTTGGCATGTGGTGTGGAAGAAAGTGAAGTCATGTCCTCTAGTAGAATCAAGGTCTCAATCAAGCCAAAGATGAGCAGACAGCGGCTTCAGATTTGGGACTATGGAGATAAACCACTGTACGCAAACGTGGGTGGAGGGCAGAGAACATTCATAAAAAATAAAATAAAAAGCCTTATCTGCACTTGCCTTCCTTCATGAGTCAGGTCTCCACACAAGGGCTGAGGCTCCTGCATTACTGCCAAAGTTAAGTGCACAAGTGATCATTTAAAAAAGCAAAAAAAAAACAAAGGGACACTAACAAAAGATAATGTGAAGCACCTTTGAATATACTGAAACATACTGGTCTCAAACATTTGAGCTGCTTGTTAATGTTTTATCCAAAGCGTCCTTGACCAGCCATCCCTATAACTGTACTGAGCTTGGGGCGCCCCATCTCTCTGATCCGAGTACAGTGAAACGGCACCTGCAGGTCACAGACTCCCTGTTTTGATCCTCAGAGTCACAACCTTTGGTCAAACAAAGCCATCTATACAAAAGCTATAAAAAGAAAAAAACACTATAACCACCACACAATACAATGCGGTCACAAATGACATGAGGGCTTCAATCATGGAGGATCACAGCACATCCAGCTTCATGTTGCCCAACATACCTGCAGGACAAAAACTCAGTTAGTAATGGAAAGAAATTTAAAAAAAAGTTTTTGAACAAGAGTACATTTAAGTATAGGTAGGGCAGGTCAAAAAAATAAATCGAATGCGATTTTAAACGCGATTTTGTGTAGCTTGTCAGTGATCTACGGCTCGGTGTAGTAAATGCCGCTCCATCTGAAAGCACGTGCTGGAGATTTACTACTAATCACCAGAAGTGGCTTTCCTGACGAGATTAGCATGAAAATCGCATTCGATTTTTTTGCCCAGCCCCAAGTATAGGTAAGTGTACAAGTTGAAGATGAAGACAGGAGTTAGTGTATTCTGCTGGAATCCAGGTTTAAGATCTGATAAAGCCGTCAGTCAGAGAAGATCAAAAGAGGCTAGAAGAGACAGCATTTCTGCAGCATGAGGCTCATGAAGATGGACTCTGGAGTCACCAATGACGATGAGTGGGCCTTCAATCAAGGAGGGGGGAAAAAGCTGATCTGGAATCTGAAATTACGCTTGAATTTCATTAAATTCTTGGCACTAATTGAGTATTTGTGCTGTATAATTTATAAAGCTGATGGAGAGCAGAGTGCCGATGTGTCCTCTTATTAAATTCCAGGTCTCAGTCGAGAGTGTGACTACAGCTGTAATGAAATCAGATTTGCAAAAGAGTGAGGGGCAGAAGGACACATGCAAGCATATATTAAGAGTAAAGAAGAGCACGGAGGAAAAAAGGGGGAAAAAAAGTGCCTGGTCTGCATGATCAAACAGTACAGTCCTGCACTTTAAACAAAACACATTCCATCAACTATTGATTAATTATACCGCATATAAAACAAACATTAACCACATAGTCTTTTGAACAAGGTTAAAGAGTAACTAACCACAAACCCACAGAAAACATTAGACAAAACAGTGCTTTAGTGGGCTCCCTGTCGCCATGTTTGAGGCACCACATCTATCTGATAACCGACCTCAGTAACAATGAATTTGCACCTGCAGGGGATTGACTACTCACTACCTAGCATTGATCAAAGACTGCAATGGGTCATTCTCCACCACAAGGCTTGGTTCGACCCAGTAAAGAGCAATATACAGTGTTGTAAATATTGAGAAACACAGGAGGACTCACCTCAGCAGCTGTTGATTTTCTCAGGAGAAACCGCTATTAACACTTTCAGGACCTCACTGGAACAAAAGCAAACCATTAAAAGTAACTGCATGCCGGTAACGGGTGTAACAGGAACACTGAGCTGCTTGTGGAAACCAGATCTATCTGTGAGCCATTTATAATGATATTAGATTAAAAGACCTTGGAATTCTGTAGCACTGACAAAGTCAACAACGAGTGGACTTCCATCAAGGAGTGGAGGTGAAGAAAATAAACTGAGCTCTTTAAGATGTGCAGATTATCTGTAGGATGAAATTACAGATAAAACGGAGTTAACATTTGTAGTTGCACAAAACTGAAACATTAACCAAGTCAGCTTCTCTACAGATATTAATTTTAATGGAAAAGATTTTGGTTGAGAGAGGAAAGTGTTGATTTGCTAATCTTAGACTTGACATTGATAAAAGTCAGCTTTGGGACACTGGAATTGACAGACGGATGAAAAAAAAAAAAGTGAGTGAGCAGCAGAAGGACGTATTTAAGCAGAGTTTATATTATATTAAGCATTAGAGAGGAGTAAATACAAGAGAGTCAAAAGTAATTACCTCTCAAGTTGAGAGAGGAAAGTTGATTTTTGCTAACCTTAGACTTGACATTGATAAAAGTCAGCTTTGGGACACTGGAATTGACAGACGGATGAAAAAAAAAAAGTGAGTGAGCAGCAGGAGGACGTATTTAAGCAGAGTTTATATTATATTAAGCATTAGAGAGGAGTACATACAAGAGAGTCAAAAGTAATTACCTCTCAACATCCTTGGTCATCAACACAGACGCCTCACTTTGGGGGGAAAAAACAAAAACAAAGTACAAACTAAAAGAAATGGTATCAAACAGACCATTAAATACAAAATAAATAAAGAGGCACAGCAGACATGTGGATAGCGTTCATTTAAAAACTCAGTCACAAGAGGTAAACTGACATTAACAAGCAGTTATCAATGCAGCGCTTGCAAAGTTCTCAAAATGGCTCAACTGAGGCCTATTTGTGGTTGGCTGATCGGTGATCAGTTTTGTAAGTAAGTGTTTTCAGGTGTGTGTCTAAGTGTTTTCAATCACCCATTGTGTTTTGTATTTTGAATAGATGTGTTTTCCCAATTGTACCCATGAGATTTCATTTATGAACGAAGTGTCTTATGTATGAAATAGTGTGTAGCGTGCAGGAGCAAGTGTGTTGCAGAATTGCAACTGAAGTGCAAAGCAGCGCTTTTGTTTAAGGTATGGTTACACTGTGTTTAAGGTATAGTAACAAAAGCTTCAAGTTTTGTTACTTTGGTCTAAGCATGTGTCTATAGTGTTCAAGCAACAGGCAAAAACTGTAATCGCGCATCACTGATTTCAAACCGCGCCTGGTTTAAAGCAAAGGGTCCTTCCTGTGTGTGTGTGTGCGTGTGCGTCTGTGTTTATTTTATCTTTATGTGTGTTTAATCTTGAAGCAAATTGCTCTGATGAATCCGAACGGCAGGACACTGAAAATCTAGTCACTTATTGTTGTCATGATCAATCATTGGTGTTATTTACTGGTTAGGATGAACACAAATCATTTTAACGACTATGGTGATGAACATTATGACTTTGATCTGGTCTCACCTGTCGTTATCAGTAGGCCTACTCGCGGTTTCAGGTAACTGACTGTCAATAGCTACTTTTAGCATCATTATCTGTGAAAGTATTTTGTCGATATTAATATATGATGCCTTTGAATGAATGATGCTTACTACTGTCATCAGGTATTTTAAACGTAAATTTAAGCTGAATTCTCGTTTTTCGTTTTTTGGAAAAAAACAAAAAACGAAAAAGGAGCCGTTTTCTCATTTTTCTACTTTCAATATTAAATAAAAAAACGAATGATCAAATGATACACGGATTTCCCCTCCGCCCTATTGCATCGATCACATTGAGAAGATATAGAGGGAAATATTTTATTTAATCTAGTTTTGGAATAATGAAGACGATGTATAACTTTGAACTGGATTCATTTATATCTCTAATTTACCGAACAACTCTTTATTCTCAAGGCTTCTTCCCAGATCTCATCAGTCACTTCATCGCTCAGTTCAGTAGACCAGACTGCTTTAAGGTGCTTAGTGCATACAGATGTTGCAAAAGCACGAATAAAGCAAGATACCAGATGTCTGGTCTCAGGATTAGAAGATAAGAGATCATGAATAATATGATTTTCAGGTTTATTTATAAACTGTGGAATATTTTTCTTTACATAATTTCTAATTTGCAAATAACAGAAAAAGGGAGACTGTGGGAGTGTAAACGTACTTTTAAGTTGTGAAAAAGATGCAAATTGATCCTCTATATAGAGATCTCCTATACAGCATAAACCTTTTCTCCTCCATCCTGAAAAAGTACCATCAATCTGAGAAGGCTCAAACAAAAGATTACATGATATTGGTGTACTGACTGAGACTTCTGGTAATTTATAAAATGTATTTATCTGATTCAAAATCTTCAAAGAATTTCTCAACACAAAATTACTGCTTCCTAATTTACTGATAGATTTACACTCTGTAAAAAGCAAAGCTGGGAGAGAGGACTCTGGCACTGACAAACCCATAATGGAGAGGTCTCAGATGTCATATCATCCAGGATGACCCTTTGCCAGAAAGTGAGAGCCCTGGCATTTGCTGCCCAATAATAATGCTTACAAATGGGAAGGCCAAGACCTCCACAATCAGTAGGTTTTTGTAAGTGGGCTTTTGCTATGCGAGGTGTTTTATAGTTCCATACAAATGAAAGAATAACTGAATCAAGTTGTCTAAAAAAAGTTGCAGGTAAATAAATCGGAAGATTTTGGAAGAGATATAAAAACTTAGGGAGAACAACCATCTTTATCACATTCACACGGCCAATTGGTGATGAAGGGAGCAGTTTCCAGCTTTCAATGTTTAATTTGACTCTGTTAAACATGTCTAAAAAATTTAATTTAAACAAATATTTAGGTTTCTTTGGAATTTTCAAACTAAGATATGCAAAGTGATCCTTAAATATTTTAATTGGATCAGGTATTTATTTATTTATTTATGTATTTCTTTCGCACTTCCAAGACTCTTGGAGTAAAGTTTAAAATGTTGTACTGTTGCTTTCAATATACATTCAAACATCACAGAAAAACAACATACACTTCCATTTAAAATGTTGCGTTTTTCTAATGATTGCTGTTCCTCAAACTCAGCAAAGAATTATGAAAAAAGACATTGCATTGCTGTTTCAACAGTTCATTAAGCAGCACAACCATTTTAGACATAAATAATAACAATAAATGTTTCCTGAGCAGCAAATCAGCTTTTCATATGAAAATGTACATTTTTAAATATATTAAAATAGAAAACAGATATTTTAAATTGCAATAATATTTTACAATATTCGTGTTTTTAATGCATTTTTGATCAAATAAATGCCGCCTTGATGAGAAGAAGAGACTTCTTTCAAAAGCAAAAAATCTTTCTGACCCCAAACTGTTGAACAGTAGGAAACATCCACATGAAGTGAATTTGCATGAAGACTTGTTATGTTAGTGTGAACCACACGATGGCGTCAGAGCATTGAACATTAAGTGTTGTGACTCAAATTCAAATTCAAAACCCAATATGTTCAATAAATATTTGCACTTCCAACCTCAGATGAGAAGCTGTTAAATTAAAGCCCATTAGTTCAGATTGGTTGAGTTTTGTACTCTAAGATAACCATAATAACCATAAACCTGAGTTAAACAGAAGACCAATTAAAATGGTTAGGGTTATTGTTATATTTCTGTCATATTTCTTACTTTAGTTTCAAAGAACAGCCTGCTGCCTTTTGAATGCAGTCTCGCTCAAATATAAGATTTCCACTTCCACTTGTTTTTGCTGAATAATTTCCAGTGTTATGTAAATGTAGTACTTGTACTTTTTTGTATGAGTCCATAATAAGTCACTATTATTCTGTGAACCACAGAAAGAAGTATTGATGTGAATTTGAAGTCACAACTGGAAGTTCTGTTTTTCCCCCATTATTTTATTCTTTTTTTAATTCTATATATTATTATTGTTGTTCATATATTTATAGGCTTGAAGCAATTCATAATCCCAGGTAATTAACACATTTACTAAGGCAATGCACTGGTTATCTGTAAGGGAGATGCATTAATATCATTGTTAATACTAAATTGTAGGCAAAAGGGTGAAGTGGTGAAGTGTTTATTAATTTAATGTGTAGAACAAAGACTAGGTAGATTATAGAAAATGAAGACGACTTAAAAACGGCCCTTAACACCAAACCACCAAACTCTTTCTAATCGCGTCGTAGCAGTCATTGCACCAACCCGGAGTAAACACGCACGTGCAGTTATTCTTTAGAGCAAATATAGAACAAAAGCACAGGCGATCTGCTCGTGGAATGAGAGATGTTTCCGTTTACATTGTTCATAATACGGCATTGACTGTGAACTGCAGTCTTGGCAAATGGGAGCCCATTATGAGATAACTCTACAAGTGTGAGCAAAAGTCTCAATTTGATCTCTCGTTGATTTCAAGACTGTCTAGAGAAACGCAAAGTCGTGAATGTCGTCTTTAATGTTTTCGCTCAAGACAGCGAGTGTTCCGAGAGCGCGCACCTGATCTCTGCGCTCGAGCAGCCAGTCCCGTCACAGCGCAGCAGCGAGCGTCGCGAGCGTCTCAGATCGCTTCAGAAGCAGCGGCGCAGCAGCGAGCGTCGCGAGCGTCTCAGATCGCTTCAGAAGCAGCGGCGCAGCAGCGAGCGTCGCGAGCGTCTCAGATCGCTTCAGAAGCAGCGGCGCAGCAGCGAGCGTCGCGAGCGTCTCAGATCGCTTCAGAAGCAGCGGCGCAGCAGCGAGCGTCGCGAGCGTCTCAGATCGCTTCAGAAGCAGCGGCGCAGCAGCGAGCGTCGCGAGCGTCTCAGATCGCTTCAGAAGCAGCGGCGCAGCAGCGAGCGTCGCGAGCGTCTCAGATCGCTTCAGAAGCAGCGGCGCAGCAGCGAGCGTCGCGAGCGTCTCAGATCGCTTCAGAAGCAGCGGCAGCAGCAGCGAGCGTCGCGAGGACACGGACGGAGATGGCGGGAGCGCAGCCGGGAGTCCACGCGCTCCAGCTCAAGCGCGTGTCGGTGACCGAGAGCCTGAGGACCGGCGACAAGTTCATTAAATGGGACGATGTAAGTAACATGCGTGGCAATGTCCGTCCGTTTCCTAGATTTCATCGTCCTATTTTGTTGGAAAACATTAAAAAGATAGATCACCCCAAAATGAAGCGTCTGTCGTCATGTATTCTCCCTCATGTCGTGCAGACGCGTATGACTGACTGACTTCTGTTAAACCCCATTCATCCCAGCGTTTCCCACAAGTATCTTAAACTTAAAGAGATCGTATAAATCAGTGTTTTGGATCTAGTAAATAATGACAAGCTTTAAATTTTGGGGTGATTATCTCTTTTAATGCAAATATATTGTGTAGGTTGGCTTTTTTATTTTTAGAAAATATGTATTTCAAACCAATGTATTCATCTTCATCTTGATCCGTTATATTGCACTATTGGGGCATGTTGTCAGGTCATATTTGCATAGCTTCTTCCTTTTCTTTAATAGATTGTTAGTGATATTTGTTTGACATTATGTTTAGGCAAATTACCTTTATTAATAACTTTAATCATAACAGCTGACAGCACATGCACCTGGCAGGTGATCCTGGAAATCTGATGATTATCTTCAATGTAACGTTTCCTTGTTCCCATATTTCCTCATATTTCCTCGTATTCTCCCCTTTCATGGCCTCTCCTGCCTTAAAAGGTCAAAGCTGTTCACGAAAGTCATCAAGTCCAAGTGCTTTCATCAGGGTTAGGTAAAGAAAATGCTGACACAGAGCTTCATGGAGGGACAAACATAACTAAACAACAGCGATAACTACTTTAACTGAAGATCACAAATTCTCAATGGGTGCAATGTGAGTTTGACACAAATTATGGATAGGGTCCTTGTATTATTGGCTTTCCAAGATGATTGCGCATAAGTAATAGAGGAAGAATTACTGTATATTGTTAATAATTCCAAGCCTCAGTTAAACTATGTTGTGTTTCGCATAGAGATGACAGTAGCGTGTTTAGACTTTGTTTAGGAGAGAAGTGGGATTTCTATTTTTCCTGTCAGAAACCACTTTATCAGGTTTATTCGAACATCTCTAGCAATGCTGCACTTCAGGAGTGGTCTTCATTATCCACTGTGCCCAGCCCATGAACTGCAGAAATGCATGAATGAATGAATGAATGAATGGTTTTGTAAACCACCTGCACAGGGCCGGATTTACGCATAAGCATTCTAGGCACGTGCCTATGCTCGCTCGTCCGGGGGGCCCAAACACAATGAAGAGATATATAATATTTTGTTATACTATGGGCTATCTACAACAGTAAAAGAACCAAAGCCCCAGAAGACATTGAGCAAATAAATATAACAAACAAACAATAGGGTAAAAAATGACAAACTACTTCTTGAAGCAGTTTAACTTAAAGATTCGCTATTAGTCAAAAATTAGCTAGTTCAACACACACAATATTTCAGGACGGAAACATATCAAATGTCTTGAAACAAATCATCTGAACAATGTCTTGATGTGTGTTTGTGACTCCTAGCCATTAAAATTATTAGAGAAATAACTCTATTAATGGAATGGTCTTTCTAAGTTCTCAAACAAATTAAGAGCTACATTCGATTTTTATTGACTGAACGCAAGCGCTTATTGCGATAGAAAAACACTAATGTTTCCACTGATTAAGAAATATTTTTGTTTGCTTGGGTGGTAATATTAGGCCTAACATATTAATAGGGGAAGTGGGGCCCAAAAATGTGTTTTGCCTATGTCACGAAAAGAGGTAAATCCGGCCCTGCACCTGCATGTACTGAACCAGCAGGCAGATTGTTTATGATCATCATTGCTGATGGCAATGCCTCATCTTTGGTGATGCTGGAACTCTGATCTTAGTCTGTCATAAACTGCCCCAGTTAAATCTTTGTCAAGAGAAGCGGTGTGGTATGATGGTTGACTAGTTGATTATTCATCCAATAACCAAGTTAGTGAGGTCAACAAGTTGTTGGATTTTTAAACTTTTGGGGCTCAAGGACATATCATGATCATCTTGTCAGCGAGCCTCTTCCTAATATAAAGGCAGCTATAAAAATGTAATTACAGAGGTTGGTACTGTAATCTGATTAGAGTCAGATTAACCCAAAACCAGCTTAATTAAACTGGGCTTCCTTCAAATCCTTCAAATAACCGAGTAATTGACTAGTAATCCAAACAATCAAACTAGCCAATTTAGAAAATCTGTGGGTTTGTACATCTTGTAGTCAAGAGAAAACAAAATAAATTGTGTTTTTAGCACTTCTCATATTATTGCCTCCTTAAGAAGAGTTGCTTTTTTATATTCCTCATTTATACGTCAGTTTGGATAAAAGTGTCTGCTGAATTAATAAATAAATGTCATGTTTGAGAGTGACAACTGTATTTAAAATTGAGTGTGAATCTCCTAAATTACCGTTTTTAAGTGGGTCCAGAATAGAAGCTAATATTAACGACCAGATACATATTATTGTCCCCCATTCTTCATACCATGTAGATTTCCCGTGTCTTTTTATCTGATCTTAGTTTTATAAACAAAAAGAAATGAAATATCCGAAATGCTCCAAAACAGCTTTCGGAGCTGATAAATTATGCAGTCTTGAAGTAGCGGATCGCTTTCTCCGATCTCCTCCAGTGACCGCCGTGTTTCCTAACATGTGCATGAGGAGCAGGGATGCATGTGATGCTCCTGTTTTTTCCAGTTTGTGCTGGTTTTGGGTGTGATTCCAGGCTGATTTCCTGAGTTTCCCCAGTTCACATGTTTTTGTCCTGTGCACTCCTTCCTCTTTTGTCCCTTTCATTCTTTCAATTTTCTTCATCCTGTTTCACTTTTAGCTTTTAAAGTCTTTGTGTTCTCACTGGTAAAACTGAAAAGCAAAGCGGTTTGCTGGAAGAGGCTTTTGAAGCCCAGAGTTTTCTGCAGAATCATTTGATTGCAGCCTTTCACTTACTGTTGTGCTAGTTTTTAATTCGTTACTACCTACTGGGAACAAGCCAAAGAAAGATCAAAGAGTTTTTTTTTTTAATCAGTAGGCCTATTAGTCATTCAGTACACCTCATCTTACTTGCCATGCCAGTCTGTCAGAAAACAACTACTTCTAGAGAATTAGTGATCACCGAAATGTCACATTGCACCTAAGTAGGACTGGTCGGTATGCACAACTGTAAAAACATGTCAAGACATTTTGCGTGGTGGATATATTGGCCAGGACTTCTTTGTTATTGATATGTGAGAGTCATTCAGACTGCTCAGGGCTGCGTTTCCCGATAATGATTGATCTTAGCACTTAAGAGCGTTTTCTACGAGTCATTTTACGATTGTTCGTTATTGTTTCACGTGTGTTTCCCAAAAATGCACTTAACGCAATCGCACGTAGTCGTGCTTTAAGTGCTACTTAGGAGTCGCTATCCATTTGTCAAGTGCTGAAATGTCACCTTATAGAATGGCTCGTAATTGTAGTAAACGCTCGTTTATTGAAATGTTAGCCTAATGCTGCGTTCCAGACTTGGTTTTCGTGCACGTCAGTAAGTCATTGAGAGATTTTTCCCCCCAGTCTTTGAAGCATATTTCCTACATTATTTCTTTTATTCATTTTTTTTGTTCAGTCATTTAATTTAGATGTGTATTTCTATTTTTTCTGCCCTTTTTAATTATTTCATTTATAAATTCATTTCAAAAAACAACAACAACAAAAACGAGTATTAAAGTGTACAATAAAATACAATCATATACTTATATTATAATCACATTGCACTTGAATAAAGTTAAAGGTGTAATCTGCCGATTGTCCTGCAGGTGACCGCATAAATCTGTCTTCTTACGATGCACTGAGGGCTTTACGATTACTCCAGAGCACTCGTAGATCTACGATGATTTCAAGTGCTACTTAAGTTACGATGCTTTTGGGAAACAGACCGTAATATTACGATCAGTCGTACGATCGTTTTTACGAACTTCTTAGGCTTACGAAGCTTTTGGGAAATGCAGCCCAGAACAGTTCGGCCTGATGGCGTTTGGCTGTTTACAGTCACAAATTCACTCATGTTTTAATCTACAGTTGATCTGATGTGCATCACACGTATGTGTTTATCAGCTTCATGTGTGTCTCATCCAATCAGAATCAGAGCCTGGACTCTCTGTTTTCTAATATTAGTTTAGCTGTTTTGAGTCTTAAATTTTGAAATGAATCCTCTGCTCAATCTGACCTGTGCTGCAGCCTGGAATTAAACCACGCCATGCTGGTTTGGTCTGGTCAGAGGAGAACTGGCCCCCGGCTGAGCCTGGTTTCTCCCAAGGTTTTTTCTCCATTTCTGTCACCGATGGAGTTTTGGTTCCTTGCCACTGTCGCTTTTGGCTTGCTTAGTTGGGGACGCTTAATTTCTGGCAATATTGTTGGCTTGATTGCACAGATACTATTTGAACTGAACTGAGCTGTATGATGACATCACTGAATCCTCAATGAACTGACTTTAGCTGAAAAACTGACTGTTTTCTGTCCTTTTGCATTATCAGCACGTTTTTCCTGTTAGGAATCTTTTGATGTTTTGCTGTGACTCCAAGCATTATAATATGATAATCAAGTATTATTTAATGATAGAACTTTAGTAATTAGAATTAAAACTGGCTAACCATGTTTGAGTGCATATTAGTCATTTTAACTGAACTTAGGACTGGTGTTGTTTTTTGTTTTTTTTTTGGTCATTCAGTGTTTCTGTAAAAAAAATGGGGGAAAAAACTAAACAATAATACTGACAAATTAATAATAATAATACTGTGAATTCTATTAATAAGAACATTATAAAACGCACTAAGGATTAATGAGCTGCTGGATTCATAAATATTAATCAGGTTGTGTGTGTTCGCTCGAACTGATTTGCTGAAATCTAAACAGGGATGATAATAGGTGAGCACCAGCCAATGAGATCGTCGTTTGCGCATTAGTTCCGCCCACTACCGGAGAACCCGGCAGTTCTTAAAAGCTGAATAAACTCCGTTATTTGGACAGGAAAATGCAACAAAGAATATCGTTTACATGTAGCACGTCAATTCTGCATGTTATGTAAGACTCACTCTCGCTCGCTCTCTCTTTCTTTCTTTCTGTGTGTGAGACAAAGCGACGAGTCGTGCGCCTTCACGCTACAGTTTATGGTAGGTCTAATACAGCCTATACAGGTGCGCTGCGCTGCGCATCCATTCAGATGAACTGAAAAATAGCACAGATCACTTGACGGAGAGTGAAACTCTGAAGCGCTCAGTCAGAGTGTTCGGCGAGGGAAAATATATCTGTGCTAAACTTATACTTAATAGCCACACACTGGCGAGTAAAATCAGAAAATTTATTAGCCAATGGCTAATATTAGACATCATCTAGTCGCCCAGAGGGAAGATTTAGTCGCATATGCGAGTGATTTACTCGCAGTGTAGAGGGTTATGTCCATTATGAACAGTTGAAATTGTGTGTGTGTGTGTGCGTCTCACTTATTTGCAGGGGAATACTAAGGAAAACATCACCGGCTTACTTGTTACATTTAAAAGACATTATGGTTGTTAAACGGCCTCGTCTTCTCCATGCCTTGAGCAAAAGATGTCTGACTGCATGCATGTTGCCATCATGCAGAAAATGTCTCTTGAGCTTTGCTTGTTCAATGTATTTGCAGTAACAAAAAGCCATGAGAATACCCAAAGCTCATTTCTCCAGCCAAGAGATTGATTTTCCCCGTTTGCAGCGCTCACTCTCCACCTCAAGTCTGCTGGTGTATTTGCTGTCTGCCTTTAAATCGCTGTGACTAACAAGATCTGTAACTGTAGGAACCCAATGGAAAGAAGACCTCCTCAGTATCTCAGTTGTTTCTCCCAGACAATAATGAGATTAAATGGGGAGCAAATAGAGACTTTCTCTAGGAATATGTCTGTCACCATCTACCGCTGGAAAGGAGCTCTGTCTTCCTCAGGCTCAGATACCAGGCTGGGCTGGTTTTGTTTCAGTGAAGGACACAAAGGGATTTTAAACCTGCTCTATTATCTATAACATGAGCAGCATGTCAGTACCAGTGTTCTTGGCCAGTGTTTGTCATTCGGTGGCAGAACCTGCATCCAAAAGCCTCCCAGCAATAAATCATTTAGAAACAGGAACCAGTCAGACAAGCTGTTGACTATATATGATTGGACACACTCGTAAAACCTCTGGTGTGTGATCTGGGTGGTGTTTATCTCTTCTCAGTGCGTACTGGTCACAGATGTGGTGTTTTGGACTCCATAATAAAAGCATTGATGTGTGTTGAATCTCTGCATGCGTTATCGGCCCCTGCTGAAGTTTATGTGCTACAAATCACCACAGAACAAAGGCGTGTGGGTCTTTTTATAGAGCTCCAGTAATATCTGCAGCTGCTATGTAAAGTTGTCCTGAGGGTTATATGACACACGAGCTGCTCTTGTCTTTCTGTGCTTGACGGCTCACACCAGACCCTCAGTTTGACTCACGATAAGGATTGTTTTGTCTCCTCACTCTACTGGTTCACTTTTTTCCTCCTCTTTAATTTCTCTATTTACACGAACGTAAACATGCCATATATATAATTTGTCTCATCTACCCACACTTCAGTCATATTAAGGGTGCTCCGATCAGGATTTTTGGAGCCAATCGTCGATCACAGGAAGCAGTATCTGCCGATACGATCACCGATTACGATCTTTTTGAAGCCTTCTTTTTATCATGTAGAATTATTTATAGTGATGCTCCAATCAGGATTTTTACAGACATTCATTCAGGGCCTGAATTTCATTTTTGAAAATGGGGGGAATTCCCCAGTTGACTCATGTGGGGGGAATTTTTTAATTTAAGGGGTGGGGGGACATTTTTTAGAGATTTTTCAAATATATATAATTATCTCACCTTAAATGTTTGATCATGCAGTGCATTTTTGTTTTTATTGTGGGGCAATTGTTGCACAATAGCTTACACTCAGCACAAGCCTGATTTGGTGAGCTGTATGTGAGTAGGCCTTATGTGTGCGCTTTGAGTGTGCATGAGCACTGAATGGTTTAAACACTGGCAAGACTTGAAAAGAAATGCAAAATATAAACTTTGGTGACAATGTGACTGCCTCCTTTATAGAGACCACCGATCAAACTTCCCAAAGCCATTATCGGCTGATAGCGATTGGTAGCCGATCAATCGGAGCACCCCTAAGTCACTTAATACATTAGATTAGTATTCATTATGTTAACTGTCATAAAACTAACCCTTGTGCTGTGATGACACTGATGTGATTGTGTTTGTTGTTCTCTTGTGTTTTTGTAGGACTGCACTACAGTTACGCCCGTGACGCTGCGCGTTGACCCGCGGGGCTACTTCCTGTACTGGACCGATCAGAATAAGGTAATTAGTGTCATTTTTCAAGTGGAGGGAAATCTCTCTCTTTTTCAGACGCTCAGTGAGTTTTCTGTAGCGAACTCTGTCCTGCATTATAGACGACGACAAAGCTACTGCCGATCAATAATAGTGAGTGTCTCTTACACAGTGGTTTGCTTTTAATTAATGCATGTCAGTTTCTCCTCTAAACGTAATGGCCTTTTTAGTGTTTTGCAGTGCTTTGTAAAAATATGATAGCAGCTGATTTCTGACAGTTTAAATGGATGCAATTAGACATGCTTGTAAATTGGCTAGGAAGGAGAACTGGGAGGTTGCTGTCTTCTGACAAATGTAACACAAGAAGAACGTGAGTATTTGTCTTTCAGAACAGAAGCTTGTGGATCGACTTGCGATTTTCTTCCACTGCACAAATGCACAAAATATCTCTGCAATGCCATTTTTGGGAAAGCATTGAGGTTTGAGGAAGGGGTGATTTTCTTACAATTTTCAACTGTAGAATACAAGAAATGAGAAGTCTTTCTACTCACCATTGTAAGTATGCATTACAAACATGATTCTGTAAATATGCAGTATTATATAGATATACCACTAACAGAAAATTTAAGTCAACGCTAGTTGCTGAAAGTCAGATTCAGTCTGCATTTTGGGCATTTGGAGTTCACAGAAAATTGTATTGTGTATGATGAGCAGAGACTCAGACTCTGGTTTCATCTGGTCGGATGATATCAGATATCAGATATTATTGATATTTTGAGTCGATTTTAGACATATTTCATATTTTTTTAAGTGACTTATAAACGACTTACCACCTCTTTCTCCCATTGCGATCTGTACAGTGTGTGATCCTTGGTCGTTTAGTGTGTGATGCCCTCTTTTTGTCTGTAGCCTTTTACAAAGTCAGCAAGTTGTATGATATTCAGATTTGGGGAGTCGTGTAGTGTGTTTTAGCCTTTATACATCAGTTAGTTCCGTCGGGGTTCTGTGAGTGCTGATTTAACAGTCCAGCAGCACTGGGACTTTTCACTCTGCTTGTCTGTGTTTGCTCCAGACAGATATATCTTTTGAATAATGTGCACTGATGAATTGTGTGCAGTGAGACCAGATACATGTATTAAGAAATGAAGAAGTGTCTATTTGAATGTCGTCATGTTGTGGTTTTTAATGATGTCCTGCACATCATGCTAATAGGTGTTTTTCTGTCTGATTCTTGGCAGTGCTGTGCTCCTCTTCCAGGGAACAATCAAATAATCAGAACTCCCCAGCATATCAGGATACAAAAACTAACTGAGACAGATTTGAAAACTTTAACCACGGAGGCTATCTGCTAATGGAGAGATGCTTTGTTGTTGCAGCTCTGGCACATGAATCGGCTCCTCACTGTCATGTAATCTGCCTTGACCCTCTGCCTCTTGTGGCTTTACATCTAGTTTGTCCATCGTATAATCATCTGACGTTGTCATTTGCCTGCTGTCGCTCTCGGTAGCTTCAGGAAACATTCTTAAGAACAAACTTCTCCTTAACTGATCATTTCTTTGTTTAGAAAAAGAATGCTTCTTAAGAATGTTCTTATCTTTTCACTTAAGATTGTTCTTAAGACGAAACATAAGAAGAATTTGAGTTCTTGAAAAGAATCTTCTTAAAAATCCTTGTAAATAACTTCTTAAATTTAGGATTGTCTCAAACTTATCTTAAATCCCCAAAGGTAAGATGTTATATGAATTGATTGGCTTATTTCAAATTAATTGTTGTAATTTAGCATAACAACATATTACTGTACTAGGGATGTGCACTAGTTTTCTGAAGTGACAGACCAGTGATCTATAATGTAAACAATGATTGGTCATGATTATGCAAGACACAACTTTTAGCTGTATTCAAAATTCAATAACAACTCTACAAAAAAGAGTCAAATAGGGAACTCGCTTTTCATTTTAGCCTATAAATAAACAATTCAAAATACGTGGTGCATTAGACGACGTGAGGCCGAATGCTGGACAACCGTCAAGCTGTTTGCGATGAAAATAGTATGCATGCTTATAGACCTTAATCAGGTCAGATGCCATACTGAATTCAACACGGATGAAAACGAGATGTGAGGGACAGACTACAGTCTTCACAATGGCACACACAGTATAAAGGTCCTAGATCATGTAATTTTTTTCACAACTTACAACTTTCAAAACTGTTTCATGGAGTTTTTGTCTACTGATGTTTCGTCAGCTGAACAAACAACAGTACAATCCACTGAACGCATTGTACTTCTATCCCTCACGGCCTGTCAAAAAATAAATATGGCACTACCCTGTCTATTATGATTATTACGTTAATCTGTAGGCTGTGAAAAAGGTGGCCTTTTAAGTTTTTTCTATAGTCTTTTCTTCTTAAGAAAAAATAAAATGTTCTTAAGAACATATTTGAGAACTTTTGCACTTAGTAGCATTCTTAAAAACATCTTAGAATTTATCTTAAGAAATTTCTGAACTTACTTCTTAAGAAGATTTTCGTGAATCCAGCTCTAGGTTTTTATGTAGTTGTTTATTTGTGTAGGTTGCATAGAACATGGTGTGTGTACATCTGTGTCCTGTGGAGTGACGGCGCTCTTTAGATCCCTCAGTGACAGGTTTCTGCTCTTCTGGGATCAGGATTGAATCCGGCACTGACCGCAGCTTCTGCTCCCAGAGGAGTTTTGTCACGAGTCTGTACCGCTCTGACATCCATCCACTGCCAATGCACTGCTGACCCGCACTGCGTCCCTTCCCACAATGCAGTGCACTTACACTGTTCATTTTAACAAGCAAACCTTGGCCCATTAAAGCTCCACAGAAGTGTTGTGTTTTGACGTGAGGCATGTGTTTTTGACCAGCTGGACACTGCAGGCTGGTTCAGGTCCACTGAGCATGTCAGGATTTCTCTCTGTGTGTCGTTGTTTCAGTTTTAAGGTGCTTTATTGGCATGACAAATATATTTTTACATTCATATTGCCAAATGTATTGCTGCATGCAATTAAAACAAAATATGAATAATGTAACTCTAATGAACCTCTTTGTCTCATACACACACACACACACACACACACACACACTCGTGTGCTGGTATGTAAACAGCAGTGGCTGTTTTCGCCACTTTGCTAAAGGTCTCTGTTGTGATAGTGATGTTGATCTGAAAGCTCACTGTTTTTTTCCACATAGCAGTACAAATGTAGGGTACATGTAGAGAGCATGAAAGAGAGCAAAAGTTCAGAAAAATGCTTGATGGGCCTCTGAATGTGTAGCGCAGAGGAAGCACAGCATGCTGTTCTTCATCACTTATCAGAAAAAACTGCTCAAAAACACAGGAATGCAGAAAAGGAAGGAAGCGACTGCAGCCAGGATCCAAATGTTTTTCAGTCACACTGTTCGTCTGTGTGTCGCGTTGAGGAAAGCCAGCACATCTCAGCTGTTGTTTAAATACAGCCATATTTTGTTTGCAGAGTGGAACAGGAATGTGAAGTGGGTGATGCGTTTTGAATGTCTCCCAACCCCCCGGCTGTAAGTGAGCCGATCATTTGACTAAAGCATTTGCATGAGGCTGCAGGGCTGTGATACGGTCCTATACTCTGTGGATCGCAGCAGGACGGACTCTCACACAGTAACTCTTAGGCAAAGCAGTTTACAAAGTCTGCATTTATGATGCTGCTTGAGTCCCATGAGCCTGAGCGTCTCTTATGAGGGATGCAGGTGCAGACGTAGTGGCTTTAGCCGTACAACAGCATGACACCGTACACCTCTGTGCCTTATCTGCTCCTAAAGAGTGCACGCTAGTACAGTAAGGGTGTAAGATACTAGCCCTACTTGAGAGGTAGAAAAGGTACAATGATGTCATTGTAAGTTAAGTATCAACTTTATCTCAGATGTTTCTCCTAAAATTCCATTGGTGAAATGGCACAGTTAATGTGGATGGCACAGCAATAATTTAATATTGAATGCACAGTATGAGCTCATTTGATTGTGGATTTTGGCATCTTGACAAATCTGAGCACAGTTTACATTTATTAATTTAGCAAACGCTTTTATTCAAAAAGACTTACAAATGAGGAATACAACAAGCAAGTTCATCTTAAAGAACCTATAACACGAGAAGTGCTTGCAATACAAAGTTTATGTCCACAGTATACAGTTAAATGTTCACGGAAGAAATGATTTTTAAGCTGTTTCTCGAATATTGTCAGAGATTCAGCTGTCCGGATAGGGTTTGGAAAATCATTCCACCAGTGAGGTACAGTGAAGGAGAAAGTTCTGGAAAGTGATTTTGTGCCTCTCTGGAAGGGCCTAATCTATCTGATGTTGTGCAACGCAAACCTGCATGCTGTCATTATAAGCAGGGTGCACATACGTTTTTCAGCCTGGTTCTCATATGAGAACCTGGAGATTTGGTTTGGTCCTCACACTGCATATACTGTTACCTATTAAATATAACTATAAAAATTTTTTTAATAAGACTGATAATAATATTGCACTTTATTATTATGTTTTTAAAATAAACTAAATAATAAAGTGTGATAATACTGTTATATTTTAAAATTAAAGGGAAGTATTAAATACAAATACAATCACTTTATAGTAAACTGATTTTGTGCCTCTCTGGAAGGGCCTAATCTATCTGATGTCAACGAACGCAAACCTGCATGCTGTCATTATAAGCAGGGTGCACATACGTTTTTCAGCCTGGTTCTCATATGAGAACCTGGAGATTTGGTTTGGTCCTCACACTGCATATACTGTTACCTATTAAATATAACTATAAAAAAAAAAATAATAAGACTGATAATAATATTGCACTTTATTATTATGTTTTTAAAATAAACTAAATAATAAAGTGTGATTAATACTGTTATATTTTAAAATTAAAGGGAAGTATTAAATACAAATACAATCACTTTATAGTAAACTTAAAATAAAATGTTAATATTTACTACTATTTTTTATTTATTTTTCATCATTTTCGAACTTTTAATCAGCAGGCTTTTA